CCCTGGTGGGCCGCGACTCCGCTCCAGGATTGGGTGAAATGGGAGACGAGAGAGGAAATGGGAGGAGAGAGAGAGAGAGAGAGAGAGGAAGGGCCAGGAGCCCCGAAAGCGCGGATTGGACAGCCTGAACGCCCCACTCCTCTTGAAGGACATCCCACGACCGGAGCGCCGAGCCTGGCTCCCTCTGCAGCTCTCAGTTCTCTCGCCGAGTCTTCCTTTTGCTGTAGTCGTGGCAGGGCGAGAGTCAAGTGGCCCACTGCGCAGACACGGAAATAACTCCCAACACCGTCCCACCTATCAGCTGCCCCTGCCTCGAATTAGCACATTCCTCATCCAATCAGAGATCAGTTTGAATAGCTCCGCCTCTTCGCCTTCCGGAAGTTACGACTGTCGAATCCGCGTTGGCGAGAGCTCGCCATTAGCCAATTAGAAGAGGGAAAGGCTGAACCGTTGCCGCGGGAAAGCCAATGGCAGGCGGCAGAGGATGACGTCGCGGACATGGCGGCCACAACCGGCCAGCCGGGGGACGTGTCGGGCTGCCCGGTAACTTCGATCCGTGCGCGGGGAGAGGAGCGGCCGTCTGACTAGTATTTGCACTCACGAGGCAGCGCAGCGGCTCTTGGGGAGAGTGGGCGTCGCGACCATGGCTTATCACTCGGGTTACGGAGCCCACGGTGCGTGAGGTGCGGGGTGGACGGGGTGCGGCCCGGCCTGGGGGACCCGAGTCGGCGGCGCGGTTCTCTCACCCGGCTGGAGAGGGGTGACCGTGACCGCTGTCCAGGGCGGGGTTGTCACTCGGGCTCTGGCCCCGCGAAGCTGCCACGCGTCTCGGACTTCGCCCTTCCTGACCAGAACCGAGATTGACAGCTGGGATCTCCGTGTCTAACCTGGGCACGAACGGGTCTCATCTCCAGAGCTGCCTTTCCCCCTGTCGCGACCCAGACCCTGCTCAAGGCCTCCAGTAGCCAGCTGTCGTCTTTCTTACCCTTGTTTAAGCAGGGACACATTTCTAATTATTTCCACTTAGCGAACTACTCACTCTCCACAGTTCGGCTTAGAGATCAGTCCCCCTTGAGAGGCCATCCAGGAACCCCAGATAGGCAGCCCTTCTTTTGTCTGCATATCATAAAGGATTTATGGAAAGAAGATTGCCCCTCTTCCAGCCTGGCTTTCCTTCACTGATCGTTTGGTAGGCCCAGAACCTATGCATAGCTGCTTTTCCAGGAAAAGAAGTGGTTTGTGCGGTTGTTGGGTATTTCTGTCATTACCTTGATACCTCTACATTCACAGGTTCCAAGCACAGAGCCCGAACAGCTCCAGATCCTCCTCCTCTCTTTGATGACACAAGTGGTGGTTATTCCAACCAGCTAGGGGGATATCCAGCCCCAAGAGCCGATGTGGCGTTCAATGTCAACCACTTGCTCGGGGATCCAATGGCTAACATGGCTGTGGCTTACGGCAGTTCCATTGCATCCCATGGGAAGGACATGGTGCACAAGGAGGTGTGGTCTGCCCCCAGGGAAAGGGTGGCAGGATTTCTGGCTAGGGCTGGGGTATCAGGGAATTCCACCTGATTCTCCAGTTAGCCCTCAGGGAGGGAGCACCTAGAGGAGTATCTTGACACTGTGCATGCAGCTTGCCCCCAGCCTCCTCTTTTCCCTTCCAGCTGCACCGTTTTGTGTCTGTGAACAAACTCAAGTATTTTTTCGCCGTGGACACAGCCTATGTGGCCAAGAAGCTAGGGCTGCTGGTCTTCCCTTACACACACCAGGTGAGCTTCCTGTCAGGTGAGGTGAGCTGACAGGTCTCCCTTGTCCCTTTTCCCACTCATATGCTAGGACCCAGACCTCAGCCTGTTTTCTCTCCTTTTTCCCTCCTCTGTTCCTGCCAACCTGGCCACCTCTGCTACTGCCAGAACTGGGAAGTGCAGTACAGTCGAGACATGCCTCTGCCTCCGCGGCAAGACCTCAATGCCCCTGACCTCTATATTCCTAGTGAGTCCCCGGTCTGGGATGGGGACATTGAGGGAGGTGGTTGTTGGGAGGGGACCTTTGCCTTGAGGCATGATCAGGAAGAGACTCCATGGTGGATCCAAATAGACCTGGTGCTTTTCATGTGCACTGGTTGTTAGACAGCAGGCCGACCAAATGCCCAATAAAGGAAAGCACTTCCTGAATGTACCTTCACTGTCCCTACATCATTCTTTTGTGATCTTATTTGGGCCAAGTCCCTCTTTACCTTGCTACCTCTGCAGCTGGGGCATTTTAGGTTGGTTCCTGCACTTCATTAAGGTTGGAATCACAGGGAGGGGATGGGTGTCCTAACTCAGGAACTGCTGGCCTTGTTAGGGTCTGTCTTGTGAGGCCTGCTTTGGCACCCCCACACCCTACTGCTGTGGCACCTCTCTCCAGCCTCAGGGAGGGTGGTCTGCCCAGGTTCTTCCATCATTCATTCATGAGCCCTTTGTAGCCACTGTGTGAGGATGGTCCTGGCTTTCCCATGCTGTATGTTGAAGCCAAGTCTGAGACTTCACTAACATAGCTAACAGGTGGCAGAGTCAACTTCCTCTTTTTTTTTTTTTGGCCAGTCCTGGGGCTTGAACTCAGGGCCTGGGCACTGTCCCTGAGCTTCTTTTGCTCAAGGCTAGTACTGTACCACTTGAGCCACAGAACCACTTCTGGCTTTTCCTGTGTATGTGATACTGAGGAATCGAACCCAGGGTTTCATTTAGGCTAGGCAAGCACTCTGCCACTAAGCCACATTTTAAACACTGTGCCCTCTGGTAGATGCATCAGTCTGTTTCACAGGTGTGTGACATGTGTGTGGGTGGGGGGGTGGAGGGATTAAATCCCTGCTGCGGTCCAGCTCCCACTGGTACTACTTAAACTTGGAGTTCACCATAGCCAGTGTGGTCAGATTTAGAGTTGCTGGCTTCGGAGACATCATCTCCAGAGTTCTGGACTCTGGCTTGTCCACTGAACTTTCTTTTTTGTTTTTGTCTAGTCTTGTTAGCAATCAGGTTGGTTCCTGTGTAGGATGAGCAATGGCCTTGGCTCATGGTGCAGTTTCTGAGACCCAGCAGGAAGCTCTGATAAGGTTCCTAGCACAGGGGCAGAGGGCGGGGTGGGTTGAGGCAGCTAGTAGTCTTGGACAATGGATCAGGTGGCATGTAGTCAGAGAGGACAGATAGGGTTCGTATATCCCAGGCAAGGCCCTTGGGAGCAGAGTGTAGAAGTTAGGCCTATGTTGGAGCTATGCGGGGAGGGAAGTCCAGGGGTAGCTGGGGTGTCAGTGGCCCTGATTGCCTGGCAAGGGGAAGCCAGGCTGATTATCTCCCTGTGACTTGGCAGCAATGGCCTTCATCACCTATGTACTGCTGGCTGGAATGGCACTGGGCATTCAGAAAAGGTCAGTACCTCCCTGTCCACTCCCTCCTGCTTTTGGGCAAGCTCCCGTTCACCCTGCTGCCTGGCCGCTCACCCTCCCCGGCCTCGGGATGGCTGGCTCTGACCTGTCCTTCACCACCACAGGTTCTCACCCGAGGTGCTGGGCCTGTTTGCCAGCACAGCACTGGTGTGGATGGTGATGGAGGTGCTGGCCTTGCTCCTGGGCCTCTACCTGGCCACTGTGCGCAGCGACCTGAGCACCTTCCACCTGCTGGCCTACAGTGGGTACAAATATGTGGGGTGAGTGCTTGTGGGTACGGGGGCAGGCCCTGCTCTCCTGCAGCCTCTCTGCCCCCGCCACCTCCCACCTCAGCCTCTAGCGCTACTGTTAGAGGGTTGGTTGTTTCCAGCAGTCTCTGTGACCTTCGGGAGATTGTGCATGTTTGACAGTCCCCTGAGGAGAAATCGCTGTTCTGGGGTTGAGTCCTGGCTTTGTGCCTCTGGGGACAGCTAGGGAGAAAAGGGCCATGGCCATGGGTGGCATGGAGGCTGGCCCCAGACCCCGGAAGGCGGGGGTGTCCTCAGGCCTGGGCCCCGGGCTCACCAGCCTGACCCTCCTCTCACAGAATGATCCTTAGCGTGCTCACGGGGCTGCTGTTTGGCAGTGATGGCTACTATGTGGCCCTGGCCTGGACCTCCTCGGCGCTCATGTACTTCATCGTGAGTCTGGGCTGCCCCTCCCACCTCACCGGGGGCGGAACTGGACAAGGCCTCCCTCCCCCTCCCCCACCCCCACCCCCCCAGCCTCAGAGCTCCTTTCTTCTAGGTGCGCTCCTTGCGGACAGCAGCCCTGGGCTCTGATGACATGGGGGGCCCAGCCCCTCGGCAACGTCTCCAACTCTACCTGACACTGGGAGCCGCAGCCTTTCAGCCCCTCATCATATACTGGCTGACTTTCCAATTGGTCCGGTGACCCTTGGCCCCAGATAGCACTGATTTTTCTATACATTGAAGATTTGGATTTGGTTTCCTTGACTTGTTTGGACGCTTTTTCCTGGGGCCTGGGGCGGGGGTTTGGAGACACCTCTGAGGCTGTGCATTGCTCAGAGCATCTGGTTTGGAGGCATCTAGGAGGAAAGTGGGCGTGGGGAGGACTTCCTGGAGATGGTGACCTTGATATTGCCTTGAAAGGCAAATGGAGCAGGGCGCTGGTGGCTCACGCCTACAATCCTAGCTACTCAGTATCTTAGGATCTCGGTTCAAAGCCAGCCCAGGCAGGAAAGGCCATGAGACTCATCGCCAAAAAAACAAAAGTGGCGCTGTGGCTCAAGTAGTAGAACACTAGCCTTGAGCTGAAGAGCTGAGGGACAGCGCCCAGGCCCAGAGTTCAAGCCCCACAACCAACAGGAAAAAAAAAAAAAAGCCAAATAGAAGCATTTCACAGCCTGTTCTGAGCCCTGTTGCGGCCAGCTTCCTCCTCAGAGACTTGCCAACTTATAAGGCAACCTGGGAAGACAGGGCGGCTATGCTAGGGATTTAGCTTGGGCTCTTCCCTCCACAGTCTCCTGTCTCACCTACATTTTTGTCCAGCTGCCCCCCACAGAGCTAGGCCCATGTGTTTGCAGTAGTTTATTCATATTTTGTCACAAATGGCCGGGGAAGGGGTGCCGGACTCCTCCAGGCAACATAGAAAATGGGTCCAAGAGACAGGGTGGGTTGGGGTTGGGGCAAGTAGAGACAAGGAGCTAGAGAGAGCCTGGGGGGGGAGGGCAGACTAGGGGTGGGGCTGCCCCCTGTTGAGCCTGCTCATTCCCAGTGCAGATGCTCCCCCACCTGTAGGGAGAACCTCAGGGGAGGGGTTGATAGGTAGGGGCAGCCCAGAATTTCCAGGGTCAAGCTCAGCTTTGGTGGCAGAGCCCAAGTATCCCCTGAAATGAACAAGGCCGGAAGTCCCACTCCTTCCAGGACTGACTGCCATGCCTGAATGAGGGCTGGCAGAGAAGCCCCTGCCCCTGTTTAGAGCTCCGCCTGGCCCTAGTCTGAGGGGAAAGGATCTGAAGGCGGGGGGGTCCCCGCAGCAGCAGTTTGGGGGATGGGGAAGCTGGAGGCACCAGTGCCCCTCAGTCCCCGGGGCTGAGGCCTCTGTGGCCAAGGGCAGGGCTGGGGGTGCACAGGCGTCCGGTCCGTTCTGGGCTCGCTCCCTGGCCGGCTTCCCCCTTAGAAACTCACCAACGTATAAACCATACTGTGGAAAGACAAGGCAGTGAGCCTGAGCCCGCAAGCGAGGCCAGCCTCCCACCCACACCCTGGCCGTCCTCAGTCCTCCAGGGATTGAGACACCCTTGGCCTGGCTGGAGGCTGGAGCCTCACCTGTACAGGTAATAGAAGAAGGAGAGCAGGTAGAAGGCGAGTTTGCACCAGGACTCCTTCTGGCAGTAGTTGAGGATGTCAGCATTCATGATGGAGACCGCGTCATACATGACCTCAGAGCCATCCGCGGGACGGTGGAAGTACCTGGAGGGCGGGGAGAAGGCCTGAGTGCCCACAGGCCTCTGCGGCCTGGCCTTCATCCTGCCCCCCACCTCCGTCTGTCTCCCCAAGCATCTGCTGCCCTCACCTCCAGAGGTGGTAGAAGAGGAGGGGGATGTTGAGGCCTAGGGTCACCCACTCTGCTGCACACAGAAACATCAGACAGAAGAGGCCATGGATGGAGTATTCTGGGACCACCAGCTGGGGGAAATGAGGGGGGACGTCAGCGGTCAGGGGCCGGGGCAGACCAAGGCTTCAATAGCAGGGGAGAACTGGGATTTTGGGGGTGGGGGCAGTAACCAGCCCAGCAGGAACTCAGGACTGAAAGACCTCCCCGGTGGCAGGGTGGATCAAACAGTCCCCAAAGAAGAGGCTGTGGTCCACGGCGTGGGGCGGTGCGGGCTGGGAGCCTCTTGCCCCCCTCCCTCACACTGACCTTCCTCAGGAGGCAGCAGATGCGTTCGATGTTTTTTAAACGCTCGCGCTGTGGGGGAAGGAAAGGGCCATGATGGGAGTGGCGGAGGACCAGGCGCTGGGCACCGCCACCGCCCCCACGTAGCCGCCAGGGGGCGCCAGAGCACTCTCTGCAGGGAAGCAGCCGCGCTGTCCCCATGGCGACCGTCGCCATGGAGGGGCCTTCACCCGCGTCTCCATGGCAACGGCCGCCCCACCAGGAGGAACCCAAGCCCAGAGCCCGAGCCAGGTGTTTACTGGGGGCGGGGACAGAGGGTAAGGGGCTGGGCCATCAGACCCCCACATGGCAAACCACCCCCCTGCCTTCCTCAACCCCATTCCCACCCTTCCCGCCACAGATGGAAAGACAGACGGACGGACACACCTCTGCACAGCACATGTATCACTTACTGCCCGCGCTGGGTTCCCCTGGTCGATGGGGTTCTTGAAGTCGGTCCGCAGCTCATCAAAGGCTATGATCTGGGGAAGGGGTGCATACCCATCAGGGTGGGAGGGGGAGCTGATGGCTTCCAGCACCAGTCCTTTATATGTGCGGTCAAATGGAGCTTGTTGCAAAGTGGAAAAAATGAAGCCCAGGGAGGGGCAGAGCCTGGGCCAAGGTCACTCAACGGTCTAGAATGGAACCTTAGCGTCCTACTGCCTAGTTTTGGACCATGCCTGCTCTATTAATTTCCTACACAGCCCAAGACACGATCTCCTCTCCACTGGGCCCTGTGCTGAGTACTGGAGACTTACCTCCCTAGAGGCTGGGGACATATTTCCTGTCAGGATTGGGGGAGGAGAACTCAGAACTACATTCCAGGTGATCGGGGCTGTGGGGTACAGGCAGACCCCTTTCCGGGGTGGAAGGGTTCAAACTGACTTTGAGTAGGTGTTTGGTGAACAATGGAAGAAAATTAAGCAGTAGGAACAGCAGATACAAAGGCGCAAGGATTGAAAGAACATTCAGGAAGCTGTGTGTTCATGGAGTTTGGGTGTGAGGAGACTGGGAAAGACAACTCAAGGTGGGGTGGCAATACCAGCAGACCCAGTGCTTAGACCTTAACACAAAAGTAATGGGAAGCCGAGCACTGGTAGCTCATGCCTGTAATCTTAACTACTCAGGAGGCTGAGATTTGAGGATCATGGATCAAAGCCAGCCTGGGCAGGAAAAGTTCATGAAACTCTTACCTCTAATTAACTCCCAGAGAACTGGATGTGGAGCTGTGACTCATAGTGGTAGAGCTCTAGCTAGCCTTGAGCAAAAAAGAGCTCAGGGGACAGCACAGCACCCAGGCCCTGAGTTCAAGCCCCATGCTGACAAAAATAATAATGGGGAACCATTGAGAGCTGTGAGACAGCAAAGCAGGGTTTGTTAGGTCAAGTCTTAGCCTGTTCTAAGGTGGCAAACAAAGGAAGACATCCACCCAGTGGGCTTTATGAAGTTCATGGATGCTTGCAACAACCTAAGGACTTAATTGCTAGTGTTATTTTCATTTCTTTTGTGCGTGTGTGCCTGTGCCAGTACTGGGGCTCGAGCTCGAGGCCTAGATGCTGTCCCGTAACTTTTTCACCTTAAGGCCGGTGCTCTACCACTTGAGTTTCAGCTCCATTTTTGGCCTTTTGCTGGTTAATTAGAGACGAGTTTCATGGAATTTCCTGTCTGGACTGGCTTTGAACCATGATTTTCAGATCCCAGCCTCCAGAAGTAGCTAGAATTACAGGTGTGAGCCACGGGCGCCTAGGTTATTTTCATTTCTGTTTTGCAGATGAGCAAGCTGAGATAGAGGCCGCACACTTAGTGGTAAGCAGGATTGTAGCCCTCAGTTAGGAGTACTAACTGCTTTGTCATACTCAGGCTAGCATAGTGGAGGACTGCAGGAGAGTCCGGGGAGGAGTTTATGGTGGTTGAGTGAGGAGGGCGGTAGCAGATGTGGTCTAGAACTCTCAAGCCAGGCTCCAAAGGGGCATACTTGGTAGAGAGGTGAAGGCAGAGGCGCCCAAGGTGCCCCCATTGTGCGTGTCTGGAGGACAGTGTCCTCACAGGTGGGGGGTCCCTGAAGAAGCAGGTGTTTGAGGGGCCAATGAAAGGGTTGAACAAGGGCAGGGGAGGAGCTAGCAAATGACCTGGAGGAGGTGGAATAGAAGAGGAGCCTGCTGGGGTCCCCCCCTTCAGCTCCAGCCGTAGGATGAGGCAGCAGGTCCCCCACCCCCAAGCATCCCGGACCCCAGACGGCTCAGAGGGAAAGAACATGGGCTTCCTGGAGGGAGCTGGGGCCATCTGGAGCCCCTCCCCCAACTCCTCATTGATCTGGGCAGCTGCCTGCCTGCTAGGCACAGCAACAGGGTCCAGCAGGGAGCGGAAGGGTGCCGTCTGTCTGCCCCCGAGCTGGCACCACCAGCGTGCGCTGGCACCACCAGCATGCAGCGGGTGTCGGGCCTCCCACCCCCCAGGCTGCCTGGCGCTGACTCAGCGCCCCCCCCCCCGAACAAACAATCCCCCACAGTGACAGCTGACACGCATCATTCACTACCAGGGTTGCCTAGCGACCAGTGGGGTCTAGACTCAGGTTTGGGATGGGACATGTGCACTGCCCCCCCCCATCCTTGAAGGGAAGGATCACATCTCTTATCCCTACCCCCCCCCCCAAGCCGACTCACTCTGGAAATCACTGTCTGTAAGCCCCTTGGGTGAAGAAGCAAGCTTGGTAACAATGCCTTGCTAAGATCACCTGGCCAAAGAAGGCTGAGCAAGCCCAATGCCTCACGTAGTAGGCCCTCCACAGGCCCTCACACACATAGTAGGTGCCCCGTAGTTGCTGAATGAACACAGGTGTTACTCCAAAGCATAGGCCTTCTGCTTAGCCTGGCAATCCACGGGGCTGAGTCCCTTTCTTATGACTCCTTGATTCCTGCTGCCACCCAGAGCCTATGTCCATACAGCTATGTTTAATGGAGGGCTTCTTTGAGAACCCCGACGCCAGGGACTCCCCCTCAGAAAACTGTATGTTGAAGGCTGCTTCTGGAATTCCAGGAGCCGCTTGGCCTGTGTTGTCTGACCTGTGCTGCCCCCCCCCCCAAGTTCCTTTCATTCCTATGATAGAAGCCTTCCTGCTCCCACCCTGCAGGTCTGTCCCAGGCCCAGGATGCGGAGAGCTCAGCGCGAAACTGTGGGGAAGGGAGAAGGGAAAGACAAGCAAGGGGAAGAAATAAGACCCAGAGAGAAGCATGGCAGGGAATGACGGGGCTGAAGATGGGGTGTACCATTTGGAGGTGCCTGCAGGGGCTTGCTCCGCAGCACACAGTAGGGGTGCAGCAGAGCGAAAGGAATCCCATTCTGGTTAAAGAGAACGGGGGACTAGCAAAGAGAGACATGGGGAGAGTTCTGGAGACGCAAAGAGCAGAGGGAGCAAGTTCCGGGAAAAGAGAGAAGTACAGAGAGAAGGAAAGAGGAAGGCGAGGAGATGGAAGGAAGGAAGGAAGGAAGGAAGGAAGGAAGGAAGGAAGCAAGGAAGGAAGCAAGGAAGGAAGCAAGGAAGGAAGGGGGACAGGGAGAGAGCTTGGAGCTAGGTAGGAGGCCCCTCCAAAGGGCGTGGAGGATCAGAGGTGAGTGCAGGTGTGCACAGCGGGTGACAGCAGCGGCACAGAGGCCTGGAGGGCATCTGGTGGGGCAGCAGCCTCAGAGGGGAGAGGAGAGCTGTCCCCCAAAGAAGGCCGGTACTTCTCCATAGTGCGGTGAAGGGGGGCAGGAAGAGGCTTTTGAGGAGAGGGCTGAGGAGGGAAAGGAACCCTCTAGCAGGGGAGTACCCAGGAGGAGGCGCGAGCCAGGGGCATTCCAAAGCAGGTGTGAGGCTAGGCTAGGGTGAGGGCAGACCTGGGGGGGGAGGGGATGCTCAAGACAAAGAGGATGTGGGGGCAGGAGCGGGAGGGAAGCTGCAAAGTGGAGAGGAAACCTGGGGGTTGTATCCAAAGTGAGCAAGCACATGGGGTCCAGGTTTCTGATGGTGCTTTAGAGCCCTTCCTTGCTTGGTCAGGAAGGGGGCTGGACAGGGAAAGGGTTAATGGCTCTGAGATGTGCGGGTCCTGTAAACAGATGCAGTTGCTATAGCAACCGGCACCATCACTCTGGCTGGAAAAACCCACAAAGGGGGGGGGGGTTGGCAGCAGACAGACAGACAGCCCGACCGACAGACGGGGGCGGCTGGATTGGGGAGAGCAAGAGAAGGAGCAATAATTCCAGAATTCCACCTTGCACCCCACGACTGAATGGGGCAGAAGTGGGGGTTCAGGGACCTATTGACATACCCACAGACAGGCGGGGGCGGGGAAGGAAGGGGGGCCCGGCAAAGGAAGCCGACTACAGGGGGTGTGAATGGGGGCGAACAAAAGGCCACGGGTAGGGGATGGCGGGGTGGAGGCTCCAAGTATCCCCGGGCTCTGAGACCCCTCGGCCCGGCCCGCTCCTGCCCCATGGGCCCCCCCCCCCGGTCCCCCACCCCGCCCCCAGCCCGAGCCCAGCCTTACGTGCCAGATGACAAAGAAGATGAGGGAGGCGCACAGCACCAGGGTGAGCATGTAGCAGAACGCGGCGAAGGTGAACGCCATGGCCCCCGCGCCTGGCGGCGGCCCGGGGGGCGCC